GCACTTAGCTCAGCACCCGGGGCTGGGAAGCACTTAGCACAGCACCCCACAAACCAAAGCAGCTGATAAGCATCTGCCATTGATATTTTGATGGTAAACAGTTTGAAAGTTCAAATAAAGCTGTTGTGATGAATTTCTTGCTGTCAGACCTGGAGACTTAACAGTTATTTCAAGCCTCTCCTTTGGTATCCTTGCTCTGAAAACAACCACTTATTTTGCCTTCATGAGTTTATCTGAAAATGGTTCAGTGCTGCATCGTGGACCCACGCAATGCGGGTCCGCGGGGCCAAGGCTGAGACCTTGGGGAAGATCTCCCGACAGGGAGTCGATCTCAGGTGATCCTGGTTCCGCAAAGAACTGCCGGGTGGGTCTCCACCGCCGAGGGCTGACGCACTGGGCGCTCCGGCGGGGGTGGGGAGGGCTGTAGAGAGACCTCCTGTGGCCAGAGAGCCCCTACTGGGACCAGCAGCACTAAGGATACTGAGACTCCGTGAGCATGTACGTGTGCCGGGCTCCAAGCTACGTGCTCAATGCATTAGCCCATTTCACTCATTACCATCCTATGAGTTTGGCACAGTTATCTCCCCCGTTTTGAGGTTTTACATAAGCAAGGCCTGTGCAGGCCTCTGAGTGAGCAGAAGTCTGCAGGCGGTGTTCTGGACCACCGTGCCCTGTGCACAACTGTCCCAGGCTGGGGCGGCGGGAGGGAGGCTGGGCTGATTTGTGTAAGAAGCCAGGACGGAGGAAATAGACGTGACAGCCCCAATCCTTGCCCCCTAAAGTATGAAGTTAGGGCGATCAAACAGGATGAAACAAACTCTATGGCAGGCCAGCTATCAAGGCCTCCAAGAGGAGACTCCCAGAAGCAGGGAGTCTGGGCTGGTGATTTCTGCTTAATACTAGGAACCAGGGGCTAATCGAGGAGGCCCGGGTGGGGAACCAGGGGCTCTGGGGCAGGACCAGTGTACGCACAGCAACTAAAAAGTAACCTGAAACAGTGAAGCCCAAGTGTGGAGCTCTGCGTGCCGATGGCCGCAGGGACCGGGTCTGCAAAGCAGCAGGGAATCCTGGAAAGCCTGGCAGAGAGGCTGAGGGAAGCAGGAATGGCTAATACCTCGTGGACTGAGCCTCGGCGTTCTTTGCCAGTTTGCAGAAATAATTGCAGAAGTAACAGGCTTTCTGCAAAAGGGTGGCTGGAGGAGCCTCAAGGTTTAAAAGGATACTCTGGGGGTGCCGGCGGGGGGGTGCTTAGTCAGTTAGGCATCTGACTTCGGCTCAGGTCATGATCTCACAGTTCGTGAGTTCGAGCCCCACATTGAGCTCTATGCTGACAGCTCAGAGCCTGGAGCCTGCTTCGAATCCTGTCTCCCTCTCTCTCTGCCCCTCCCCGACTTGCACTCTGTTTCTGTCTCTCAAAAACAAACGTTAAAAAAATTTTTTTAAAGATAATCTGTATGAGACGCACTTGTATCTCAGGCTGGAGGAGGCCCACGCAGGTTGTGCGCACCGGCATCCACCTCAGAGCAGGACACGGCCCACACACCGCGAAGCTGGAGAGAACACGTAACAACGTGCAGCCTCCCCCAGCGGGTCCCAGATGCACATCTAACCCGGATCAGTCGGCTCCAACCTGCAGACCCCCTGAATGCAAACTGCTGGGGGCCGCTGCGGACCCCAGCGTCGTTCTAGGATTCTGACACGTGGCCACTCTGTTGCTCCCGAACACCTTCCTGATTTGGGAGAAGATAGGAACTTAGTTCAAGGTCCCCCAAATTAGGGCAGAGCTGAGGGCAGAGGATGGGCAACACCCACACCGCCAGCATGAATCTCCGTGTTCACTTAGACGCCCTCTTCTGTACAGGTAGCACAGAAGGGCTGCTCAACACCATTAATTCTCCTCTCGATACCACGCTTCTCCCTGCAGAGCAGAAGCTTCATGAAGGCAGCGGCTGCCCTCTTCGTGGCACAGAGCCCCGGGTATGTGTTTATTTTACGCTTATTACAAAAGGAAAAGTCTCTGCCTTATTTTAGGGCTTCAGAAGACAACCTGGTTAAATACAAAAAATACACAGGAGAAAAATCCTGGTTAGGCGGTGAAAGTGGGTGGAAACTTACCAGCGGTACCCATGAAACCAATCACAGGTTCGGAAGCAGAGAAAGCAGCGGCACAGGCGAGACCACTTGGGGGGGGGGCGTGTCTGCCACCACCTCAAATACTTAGGTCCAAGCACAAAACCACCGTTCCATCGACAACCCTTTATTATTCAACTTAGGTAATAGTCAAAAACTCAGTTAGTGTGGATGGGCGAGAAACTAGGCTAACATAGCAAAAAGTGCGTTTTCCTTTGGCAAAGGCCCAAACAATACGTAGAGACACTCATCAGAAGGGGAGATCCCCCTCAAAATCAAGGTGAGGAAAATACCAGTTACTGCCTTACAGTAACACCAGCCCGAGTGCCTCACGGGGAGTCTGTCAGCAACACAGATCAAGACACCCCCCCACCCTCTAGTCCGCCAGCTGACTTATAAGCATTGACGATGAACTCTTCGATGAAGAAGTCAAATATCGGTTCTGTTCCACGAGCAATAAAATCACAAAGCCAACAAAGGTTTGAAATTTAGGGCAAGCTAGTACAATTTCCTGCTTTTAATGTGCACGTATTTTAGATCTGACAACTTTTTCACGTGTAGCGTCTCAAATTTCAAACAAAAAAGCCATGAATTCATGCATGTCCTGCCTTCAGTCAATTCTTCCAACGTCTAGACTTCAGAGCTGCTGATGACACTAAATTCCATGCCACGTTGGTTGAGTCTGTCGATCAACTTTGTTCTGAAGAAGGCGGCTCCTGGGGTGAAGACCCCGCCCCTGTAAGACAGAACAAGGAAAACAGTGCCCGAGGCCGGTCTCCAGGCCTCCCCTCTGCTGGCGTGACCCGCCGGAGAAGCAGCTATTGAGCCAGCAGAACTCCTGAAACCGTTGTTCCCTCATGGACACGTTTGGGTTCCATTCTGAAAATGAGCCAACGAACAAAGGAGCTACAAAGCAGCCCCAGCAAACCCGTCCAGACTGGCCCAGCCCCCAGGACACGGCTGTGTGCTCGAGGGGCAGTGAGGGCCATCAACCCAAGGGACTCCTGCTGCTCATAAAGCCAGTCCTCGGAGTCAGGAGGATAGAAAAAGGACCTGAGTGAAATAAACTTAGGCAATGAATTATTATGAAAGCACAAATAAGGCTTAAACTGAATGGAAGACGTTTCTTTAACTATAATGACTAACATTTTAAAAAATACGTTAAATATTTTCAAAGGGTATAGAGTTGACGCTTGAATAACATGGGTTTGAACTGCGTGGGTCCACTTACATGTGATTTTTTTTTACAGTGTAGTACTATAAATGTACTTTGTCTTATGATTTTCTTAACATTTTCTTTTCTCTAGCTTGCTTGGTTGTAAGAATGTAGTATAATATATGTCAACAGTAAGCTATTAGTTAAGTTTGGGATGGGTAGTTAAAGGTTACACATGAATGGGGTGCCTGGGTGGCTCAGCTGGTTGAGCATCCGACTTCGCCTCAGGTCACGATCTCACGGTTTGTGAGTTCGAGCCCCACGTCGGGCTCTGTGCCGACAGCTCGGCGCCTGGAGCCTGCTTCGGATTCTGTATCCCCCTCTCTCTCCATCCCTCCCCCACTCACACTCTGTCTCTCTCTCTCTAAAATAAACGAACATTAGAAAAAATTTTTAAAAGTTATACATGGATTTTCGACTGCCCAGGGGGCGTCAACTATAGAATTATTTGAAAAAACCTAATGAGACTTCGCTTTATACACTGTTTATGTCCGTCACTTAATACCGTTTCGGGTCATATCTACATTTATTTGTTTCTGAGTTTGTGGGCCTATGGCTCATTTGTAACGCTGGCCTACTTCTACAGGAACAGTTAAAGGCTCCAGTGACAGAGCCCAATCGATAATCATCTAGCCAAGCTGCCATGAATGAATCCACACACGGTATCAGGGCCGCCCATGGCCAGCTGGGTATCATCAGCACTGACTAGAGGCTCCTGATAATACTATTTAACAACGAGGGCCTTTATAGCGTAGCTGACTCCAGACCTGAGCTGTTTTTACAAGGAACTAAAGTCAACTTACGTGACTCTCACACTTCCTGTCTCCTCTCATTTATCTATCTCTGCACTGTTCTCAGAGGCCACTAAGACACGGTCCTTCTTACAAATTTAATTTACCTCTATCTTTGGTTCAAAGGGAATGTGCATGCTTATGTGCAGACCCACTGCCTGAAAACAGCATCAAAAGAAGCGAAAATATAACGCGAATGAAAAAGGCCTCTTCGAATTAGAAGAAAACCAGACTTACATGCTAGGAAGATCAGAGGCGTCATTTAGAAGAGTCATAGCTGCCTGGACCATGGCTATGGGGGTAGCCACATAGCCAGGCTCTGCGGAAGACAGATGATCGAAGAAAGATGTTAATGCATTCGGCAACACTCAAAAATCAAATGGGAGGTTTTATTCTGACACTTGATTTTGGCTCAGGTCAGGATCGCACAGTTTATGGGTTCAAGCCCCACATCGGGGCCCGCGATGACAATGCGGCACCGGCTTAGGATTCTTTTTCTCCCCCTCCCCCACTACAGCTCACACTGTGTCTCTCAAAATCAATAAACTTAAAAAAAAAAGATTCAACTTTTTTTTTTTTTTAAACGTTTATTATTTTTGGGACAGAGAGAGACAGAGCATGAACGGGGGAGGGGCAGAGAGAGAGGGAGACACAGAATCAGAAACAGGCTCCAGGCTCCGAGCCATCAGCCCAGAGCCCGACGCGGGGCTCGAACTCCCGGACCGCGAGATCGTGACCTGGCTGAAGTCGGACGCTTAACCGACTGCGCCACCCAGGCGCCCCAAGATTCAACTTTTTAACGAAAAACAACTGAGTAACTTTAAAAAAAGTTTCTAAGCAAGGGGAACCTCAGTGTTTACAGTTTGGTCAAATAATAAAAATACAGTCAATTTATCTTAAGAAGCCTGGTGGGAATTTGAAAAGAAGGCAAGACACAACGATATCTTTGCCATCTGGCTTGACTGAAACTGCAAAGCAGACCCCCTTTGATCTACCAGAGGTGGTGGTCATTACACTTATAATTAGGCTGTAATTCACAAGCAGAAGTGTCTCCGCACCGCTCTGTAAAATTGACAGCCGAAGTTCTTGAGCTTTTTTGGGTGACAGACCCTTTTAGCCACCCATCAAAAGCCTGCATCCTCCCAGGAAAATGCACATAGCACACACATTTTACAAACAATGTAGGGCTGTTCAAAGATTGCAAAGAAACCTTGGCCCACAGCTTTATGTTACAATTATACTGCTTTCAAATGACCCTTGAGTAGGAGAATATATATCAACCAGCCCCTTTTCTTATCAATATTAAAATATGCTGTTCAGAATTATTAAATAATACTAAAAAAGAAAACCAGGGGGAGGGATACACTAACACAATTAGATAACAATGTCAATCCTTCCTTTAACAGAATAATTTATATTGTTACTTAAATAACTTGTGCAATTTATGGGGCGCCTGGGTGGCGCAGTCGGTTAAGCATCCGACTTCATCCAGGTCACGATCTCGCGGTCCGTGGGTTCGAGCCCCGCGTCAGGCTCTGGGCTGATGGCTCAGAGCCTGGAGCCTGTTTCCGATTCTGTGTCTCCCTCTCTCTCTGCCCCTCCCCCGTTCATGCTCTGTCTCTCTCTGTCCCACAAATAAATAAAAAAACGTTGAAAAAAAAAATAACTTGTGCAATTTATTTCTAAAATAATTAAGCTCTAAGAAAAAAATATCATAATACTGCTTTATACCTTAGGACAACGTAAAACGCCCCAGCACTCTTATGTCATATGTGAAATACCTGGTCCTTTCACCTGAGTACAAATTCTGGTATTTGGTTTGCCCTTCTCGGGACCAAAGCCTTGGCTGTATCCTTGACCAAAGAACCTCAATGTAAACGATGAGCCATCCATCTGAGGAAAAAGCAAAGGCCTTATTTATTAAAGATGTCATCTCCTTCCTAAACACAGTAAATATTCTATTTCGTATGAGACATTTTCAGCAGGTGAAGACATCAGTATTCTGCCGGAAGACCCTACCATCCTTGAAGCATGGGGCAAAAATCAGTTCTTTGAAGACACAAGTTTTGATGACGGGTGTGTTGCCAGGGGAGGGAGGTGGTGAGGAACTTGGATGCGGTACAAGTTCGGTTCCTAGGCTGTGGCCTACACAAGGACAGCACCACTGAAATAGTCGTTTCAGAGGACAAGGTGGAGGCAGTTTTTATTTTAGGACGGGGGTAACGGCAGAACATGATAATCTGGTTTCACACAGCTGTTTGAGGAGACAAGACAAAAACAGCCAACAAGTAGGGGCACCTGGGTGGCTCAGTAGGTTGAGCATCTGACTCTTGACCTTGGCTCAAGTCATGATCTCATAGTTGTGAGATTAAGCCCCACGTTGGGCTCCACGCTGGGCATGAAGCCTGCTTAAGATTCTCTCTCTCTCTGTCTCTCTCTCTCTCTCTCTCTCTCAAAAAACAACTAACCAACAAGTAATGGAAATACAGGCCAGACAGAATTGAAAAAACCTGATTCAAAAAATTAAATTCTGTAGGACTTATCCAAGCATCTTTCACAATCACTAAATTTAGAAATAAGGTAACAGAATTCAGTTGTGGTCGACCAATTTTTATTAATGAGACATAATTAAAATATGATCCCTGTCTTTTCTGGAGCTGATAGTTTAGTGAGTGCGCACACACACACACACACACACACACACTCAGATCTAATAAAAATATGAGACATGAATTAAAAGATGCAGGACAAGTTCAAAGGAGGGCATTATTAGATCTACTGAGGAAAATGGGGCAGGGTTTTGAAATGTGTCCTCTCTCTCTCTCTCTCTCATGGAAGTTTATCACACAGAAAGGTAGGGTGGTTACCAGGAAGGAGAAACCATCAAAGGCAAGAAGGTATGTGGCATCACAGTGGACCGCAGTCTAACATGGCTAGAACACACAGTCCAAGAGGAGAGGGGTGGCACTCGTGTTATCAGAGGTGCAGACAAGGACAGACACTCGTGCTAGGACGTGTCCCCTCCCCTGCCTGATCACAGCCTCTCAGGCTGGGTGCGTATTCACTGTTACAACAATTTTCAATATGGTCTCCAGGCTGCTACTATCGACTCAGCAGGGTTGGCATGAAAATGAAACCCATCTGCTGTCCAGCACCAGATGATGAAGGACCTCACTCCTGCAGAGACGACTTCCATTCATTGGCACTCCAGGGGTGTGAACCAAAACCACGAAAATCTGACCTGGAACCCACCTACCTCCACCCCAGTGATCAAAACCTTGGCAGCACATTAGCATAACTGGCCTTTTAAAAAGCCCACTGTTCAGGCCACATTCCAGACCAAACAAACTTGAATCTCCGTCATCAGTTTGGGGCTCTTTCTCCAAGGTGAGAACCACTGCTCATATTTCCAGGCCCTGCTCCCATCTACTGCCTCAGAATGTCCTGACACTGGTTCGGGACAAGTCTTTGGAAAAGCTCCCTGGGGGTGGGGGTGGGGGGTCCTGATCAAGCCCTAGGTAAGAATCACTGCACGTGCCGCAAGTCAGGGAACCAGGCTGAAGAAGGTGGCGACGAGGTCAGATCTGTCTTAGACTGTGCACAGTAGTGGGGACAAATACTTACAAATCACCCATCTGATAAGGGATTAATATCCATACACACGGACCACCAAAAACTCAACAACAAAAACGCAAACAACTAATTCAAAAATGGGCAAAGGACTTGAATTGGCATTCTCTGAAGGCGACCTACAAATGGCCAATAGGCACATGAAAAGATGCTCAACATCACTCATCAGGGAAACGCAAATCAAAGCCACAATGACATTTCACACCCGTTAGAACTACTATTAATAAAAACACAGGGGGCACTTGGCTGGCTCAGTCAGTGAAGCGTGTGACTCTTGATGTCAGGGTCGTGGTTTAAGCCCCATAATGGGTACAGAGATTACTAAAAAAAAATAAAATAAAATAAAATAAATGAACTTAAAAAACAACGGGGAAACAAGTGTTGGCAAAGGCTATGGAGCAACCAGCACGTCCATGCGCCATTGACGGGAAGATAACATGGGTCGGTGCGCTCAAAGGGTCTGATGGCTCCTCAAAAAATTAAAAATAGAATTACCATAGGATCCAGCAATTGCACTTAGGGATATTGACCCCAAGAACCGAAAGGAGGATCCTGAGGATATATTTATACACCCATGTTCCTAGCAGAATTATTCACGGTAGCCAAAGGGGGAAGTAACCCCAGTGTCTGTGGATGGATGAATGGAAATGTGGTACGTATGCACACGGTGTGTGTGTGTGTGTGTGTGTGTGTGTGTGGAGGGCATGTGGCAGGGGGGTCTGTGTGTGTGTGGTATGTGTGTCTGTGTGCACGCGGGTAAGGGGTGTGGGGGGGTTGTGTATGCAATATTGTGTGTGTGTGTGTAGGGGGTGTGCATGTGTGTCTCTTGAGTGTGTGAGTGCGTATGTGTGTGTGGTGTGTGTGAGAGTGAAAATGAACTACTATTCGTCCTTAAAAAGGAATGCAATCTGACACCTGCTACAACCTGCATGAACCTGGAGGAGGTCACGCTGAGTGCAATAAGCCAGTCACAGAAGCACAAGGACTGTGTGAGTCCACACGTACGAGGCACCGAGAATGGTCCAATTCAGGGAGGCAGAGAGGAGGCCGGTGGTTGCCAGGGGCTGGGGGAAGGAGAAAAGGCAAGTTGTCGCTTAACAGGGACAGTTCTAGTTCTGCACGAGGAAAAGGCTTGGAGACGGGTGGTGACGGCTGCACAACAGCACAAATGCGCTGCGTGACCACACGAATTTGCATAATATGGATGTTTTGAATAACAATATGGATTCGATACCACTGAACACTTAAAAATGGTTAAGATGGTAAATTTTATGTGCCGTTGGGGGAAGAGGGAAAAAGGAAGGGAGAGGAGTCAGAGCCTCGTAAGGCGGGGATGATGGGTTTGGAGAAAAATCTAGAATGATGCCTATGTCTGTGACTGGACAGATGACGGTGCCACCAACTGAGCTGGGAAGTAAAGGAAGACGGGAGTTTGGAGGAAAGAAGCTCAGATTCCGCCACCTTCAGTTTTCAGCAGCTGGGCGTGGAAGCTGGAGATCTCAGGGGGTCTGCTGACCAGGCGCAGGGGGAGAGGGGTGGGGGAGGCTGGAGCCCTGGGGGTGGTCCACACCCAAGGGTGCCGGGAAGGAGGACAGGCACAGAGCGGTCACCTGGACTCAGAGGCCAAGAGAAGCGGTATTTCAAGGAGGACAATAATGTCAAAGAAAACAGCAAAGAAGGGCTCAGCGCACTGAACCCACTTAGCAGTTATAAGAGCAGCGTGGACTCTGGCGAGGGGACCGCACAGGGTGAGGGGAGCGCCCAGGACTCCTCCTTAGGTCGGCGTGTGTCTAGGATGCGGAGAAGGAACCCGTAGTGGGGCAGGTGGAGAATCACAGGACCACTGGGGTCACAGTAAAGGTGAAGACGCAGGCAGGTCTGACTCTAGCGCCCGCCACACCCTGGCCGCGTGACCTTGGGCGCACAGACCCGCTCTGATGACTTCCTCCACCGTAAGCGGGAAGACTGAATGCGATGTCAAGCACTCGGCTCTGTGCCCGCTGCACACAAGAAATGCTAGATTTAAGGAGCACGGGTGGCGGGACTAGTCCTGTGCGGAATTCTTCTCCGAGGGGAGGAAAGAAGGGGAGGGCGGGGGCCGTGGGTCGGAGAACAGGAATCGGGGGGCGCACAGCACACATTCTCAAGTCCACCGCGAGGCAGGAGGTGTGGCACCTGCGGACGGAGAGGAGGGCTGGGGCCGGTACCGTGTGAAAAAGCCCCTGGGAGGAGACGGACATCTAGATGACTAACTACACGTAACCGGAGCCTCAGACGGCGCTTTCCAGCCACGGGGGGAGGTGTGCACGTGGGGGCACACATTCGAGGGGGGAGGCATGCATGGGGGGCACACATTCAAGGGGGGGAGGGCATGCATTCGTGGTGCTACCATCCTCTTGGGGGGAGGACCTTCCAGCGGTGCCTGGTGTGAGCGGGCGAAATAATGACCCCACTGGACCCAGGGTCTGTAAACCATGTGAGGGAAACGAAGCGCTC